GAGCACCCCTGACATATGGTTGTCAAGCCTCTGCTTAAAGACCTCCAAAGAAGGAGACTCCACCACACTCCTTGGCAGCAAATTCCACTGTCGAACAGCTCTTACTGTCAGGAAGTTCTTCCTAATGTTTAGGTGGAATCTTCTTTCTTGCAGTTTGGATCCATTGCTCCGTGTCCGCTTCTCTGGAGCAGCAGACAACAACCTTTCTCCCTCCTCTATGTGACATCCTTTTATATATTTGAACATGGCTATCATATCACCCCTTAACCTCCTCTTCTCCAGGCTAAACATGCCCAGCTCCCTTAGCCGTTCCTCATAAGGCATCGTTTCCAGGCCTTTGACCATTTTGGTTGCCCTCCTCTGGACACGTTCCAGTTTGTCAGTGTCCTTCTTGAACTGTGGTGCCCAGAACTGGACACAGTACTCCAGGTGAGGTCTGACCAGAGCAGAATACAGTGGCACTATTACTTCCCTTGATCTAGATGCTATACTCCTATTGATGCAGCCCAGAATTGCATGGGCTTTTTAGCTGCCGCGTCACACTGTTGGCTCATGTCAAGTTTGTGGTCAACCAAGACTCCTAGATCCTTTTCACATGTACTGCTCTCAAGCCAGGTGTCACCCATCTTGTATTTGTGCCTCTCATTTTTTTTGCCCAAGTGCAATACTTTACATTTCTCCCTGTTAAAGTTCATCTTGTTTGTTTTGGCCCAGATCTCTAATCTGTCAAGGTCATTTTGAAATGTGATCCTGTCCTCTGGGGTGTTAGCCACCCCTCCCAGTTTGGTGTCATCTGCAAATTTGATCAGGATGCCCTTGAGTCCATCATCCAAGTCGTTGATAAAGATGTTGAATAAGACCGGGCCCAAGACAGAACCCTGTGGCACCCCACTAGTCACTCTTCTCCAGGATGAAGAGGAACCATTGATGATCTTTAGCTAGCTCTCTCTGACACGACTCACAGTTCCTAAACTGACACACTGAACCACTGAACTAACGAACTAACACATTCCAGTTAGTAGACCATTAATTATCATTCCCTTGAGAGAGCTTGACCAATCATGGAGCTGTCTCCATGCCTCTGTATCACCAGGCAGACTTACTCCTTCACATGGCCTTTTGGCTGTCTGCCAAACCTTAATTGACTCTGTGTGAGTAGCTGCATGTACACAGTTTCCCAACAGAGTGGTGGGGGCAAGTCTCCTCTTTTCCCAGCTTCCTCTATAGGGTTTAATTCCAAAACGCCAAGCCCTTTCCCACCACAGTGTGTATTATTTTTAGCTTTCTCAGTACTTTGTCAAGGTCATCAACTCAGCAGTGGAAGCCTATTTTTCCAACCTAATCCCTCCACCTCTGCCACTTTGCTCACAAATATCTGTTTCTGACAATTATATGTACAAATCTTTGCATCCATTCATGTCAAAATAGTTATAAGATCTAACATAATAATACTGAATAGATTTCAATTGCTAAGAACTTTCCTTTCCACGACCATAAGCGAAAAATTTAAGACAGTGGTGTTGAGGCTTCCTGAGAATCCATATAATAAATCAATGTTATTAAATTTATTTTAGACAATGTTCACAGTGAGTATTCTGGTCCTCTTCTTTTTCTCTTGATTTTTAGCCAGCAAATGCCTTTTTAGTAAAATAAATACATAATTGTAAATCCGTTAATTTGGACATCTTCAGAATAGATCCAAAAGTACTTTCCCAGAAGTAAAATAGTTTCCAGAGAGTTAATCTTATCTTTCTTCCAGAAAACAATTATAATATTGTTTTGCAGCACCCCGAGACACCCCAATGCTCCTCTTGGGTTTTTTGGGGGAGGCGCATCGCCCTTGGGCTCTTCCCCTCACTCTATGGAGCCGAATCTGATGGAGCCATCAGATTCTCAGTCCGATTGCCATTTTGTGAGGACCTGGAAACCCGCTGAATGAAAAATTTAGCCCTTGAGGGAACTCCCAACGGAATTGAATGTTGTGTTTTCTCAAAGCATCTGCTACAAATATCACTTAAATCTCCTGAGATCAAGGATTTTCTTGATGAAGTTGAAGATTCAAGGGCAGCCCCACCCACATGAGTGCATTACAGTAATACAGCCTTCAGATTATTAGCACATGGGCTACAGTGATCAGGTTACTGCTGTCCAGGAATGGTCTCAGTTGGTGAAGGAGACCAAATTGATTTATTGGCCCTCATCCAGTCCACCATTGTATTGAGACACTGGATAGCTCCATTTGCCAGAGCATAGTGCTGATAATGCCAAGTCTGCAAGTTCGAGCCCCATAAGGAACAGTTGCACATTCCTGCATTGCAGGGGTTGGACTAGATGATCCTCAGGGTCCCTTTCAACTCTATGATTCTATGATTCTACCACCTGGGATGAAAAATTAGTCTCCTGCAGCCTATGAACCCACTGATTGCCCTTATTTAGCTTGTAAGATAGTGACCACGGAGATCAGAAGGGACAATGGGGCATCGGGCATACAAAGTAAGGAAACAAATATTGGTATGCATTGCAAATACAGTGGTACCTCGGCTTACATACACTTCAGGTTACAGACTCCGTTAACCCAGAAATAGTACCTCGGGTTAAGAACTTTGCTTTAGGATGAGAACAGAAATCGTGCTCCGGCGGCGCGGCAGCAGCAGGAGGCCCCATTAGCTAAAGTGGTGATTCAGGTTAAGAACAGTTTCAGGTTAAGAAGAGACCTCCAGGACTTCCAGGGTGGCGCCATCGGCAATGGCGGATTCCCTCTGATCCGGAGGGACTGGCTCCATGGAAAACGGGTCTGTTCCGCTACAGCGAAGCGGGGACCCTTTCCAAAATCACAGGTGGATGAAGCCTGTGACCATGGGACTCGGCAGGCACCTGTCGTGCCCCCCCAATTCGTAAAGGAACCCAATTACGGGCTCCGGAGCGAAGAGGGGCTAGTGGCGCAGTGCTGAGAGTCAACTGCTTCTTCCGTGGAGCGAAGCCGCACAGCCGTTGCCGGAGCGCGCTACCTTTTTCCTGGGACAATTTGGCTACAAAAACAACTACCCGTGAGCAGATCAAATTTGGACAATTGGACTTTAAACAACAATCTGTGAGTAGAACGGAAAATTGGATCAAGAAATCTTTCTTAATTTGGCACTGAAACGGGAAGGTCTAAACAGGAAGTAGTCAGCCTTCCGTTTCTTGTAGATAGATTAAAGCAAAGACATGGCAAACTAGAGTGTAGAAAATCGTTTGTAAAGGATCAACTTTCATCATCTAAAATTACTGAACCCCCTTCAGAAGCAGGAGAAGAGGGGGATTTTTTCCGGATTGCTTAAACCTGCAGAAGAGAGTGTAAAGAAAAGTAATTTTCCACCGTCTTGAACCTGGGAGCAGGGTGTCAGGATAGACGTTTTTGGGAAGTTCATTGACTATAGACAAATGTTTTTGAGACAGTTAAAAGAAGAGAAACATAGTGATTCCATTGTCCTCTTTCGCATTTTAAAGGAACAAATATTGACAAAATATCTTAAAAAGGAAACTTTGTTGTTAGATCTGCTGTTAAAAAAAAGAGAGAGAGAGAGAGAAAAGAGTTGGATACAAATAGACGTTCTTTCCCTAGAGGGAGCTTGTGAAACTGTTATGAAATTTGAACTGGGGAGCTTCGCAGCTGCAACAGATTAAGATCGTGGGAACAGACTTCTGACCTTGTATAACAATGTACTCAGAGGCTCTGGTGCGTGCTTTCTGTAAGACAAGTGCTTTATTGGAACAGTTACATGAGAAGACGGATTTGATGACTGTTGCGATCAGAAATTTTGGACAGGTAGTGGGTATCTATATAGAACCCACTCAGGAATCAATTCAGGAGTGTGCTCTGACAGATCAGATGAAGGAGGAGGTTGTGGCTGGACCCCGGGAGGCAGAGATGGAGGGAACCGTGGCCCAGCAGGAACATGAGTTGTTGGATCTGACGAATGAACCTGGAAAAAGCCAGATTTGGAGAGATAGAGTCTTGTTTGGTTTGGAGATGGGGGGCTGGATAGACCCCCCTATGCAGGGATGTTTTGACTTTTCAAGTCTGGCGTTGGGCCGGGAGGAGTTTGGAGTTGTGGGGGTCCTCAATTTTGGAGGGACCTTGAAACATGCTTTTAAATACCACATGGAGTTCAGTGTGGACTATGGAAAAGGGGCTGATCTGTTGAGAAGGGACAAAAATACTGTCAAGCTGCAGTCTCCACGAGTGAAAGGAGCAGAAGACAAAGTAAAGTACAGGTATAAATATGAAGAAGATCTGCGGAAGGGACATGGAAGAGACTTAAGGGCCTCGGACATAAGGTTACCAGGTTAATGAACTAGATGGATGGGATAGAAAGGACTGACAAAACCCGAGACCAGGAGGAAGAGACGTTGGATGAAGATTGGAGAAAGCTTCAAAAATTCTATTTAGGAATGTTTTCTAAAATTAATGAGTATTAGAAAAATGTTGGAATGAAATTATTTGGCTTTAGCAGAAATGTTAAAAAGAACAATGCAATAATATGTTATGGTTATGAGAAATTGATATAGATAAGACTTAAGTTTTAAGTTTTAGGGTTTTTTATAGTAAGATAAGGTTAAAATAGATTAAGGTAATTCAATGACAGAATATTATGAAAAATGGGAAGGATTTGCTGTGATAATCAATAACTAGAATACAAAAAGGGAGGGGTGAGGAGGTCGATGAAATAAGGTAATGACAGTTAAGGATTTGGGAATATTGGATCTGTTTTTAAACTTTTGTGGTTTATTTTTGTTTTTTGATTTTGATGTGTTATGTGTTTTGTTTTTGCTTTTTGCTTTTGATTTTTATCAATTTGTATTGTTTGATTGTTGTTTGTTTTTTCCTTGTTTTTTCCCTTCTTTTTCTCTTTGTTTTTTCTGTAACCTTAAAATTCTTAATAAATATCATTTTTAAAAAAAGAGAGAGACCTCCAGAACTAATTATGTTCTTAACCCAAGGTACCACTGTACTTAACCCGAGGTACCACTGTAAATGCATTAAACAAAGGCTATGATTGGACGCTTCCATTCTTTATTTTTGTAGCCATCTACGTCTGTGCTTGCAGAAGAAGGAGTTTTCAAGGTGACTTTGAGGGTTGATGGCAGAGATGCCAAAATCTAGATGGCAGAGTGTGGATTGTGCATTAAAACAGTGGGGTGGGTGATCTCTTGTTTTTGTGTAGAGATTATGCAATCCAGTTTCATTCATCTTAAAGGTGTCTTCTTAGAGCCAAACATCATTAGGCACCTTCTTACAAATATACCGTATGTGCTTCCCACAGTGTGATGCTATCCAGCAATTGCTTCCACATTCATAGGTCAATGCACCACAGTTCCCTGGTCTTGGCTCCCCGTCATTCCAGTACCTAAAAAGAAAAGAAACAGCAGCACTGATCAATCAAGATTGGATGTCTACCTCCTCACCCGCTCCCTGTGCCTTCTACCATTAAAAAGATGTCCAGCTTTTTCTCTCTTAACATCCATCCATAATTGTGGTGGATTTTTCTCCCCATATTTTAGAATTCTAACCTCAGATCTGCTCTGTACCGTTGTGGGTGTTGGAGAGAGAATTTTGGAAGAGAGATCCATACTCTCTTGTAGGAGAGATAGCACAGTAGTGATTGTTGTGAGCATATAAAAACTTCTCACATCCATCACCCACCCCATGAATGAGGATAGCAATGACACTATACAGAAACAAAAATAGCTATGTCCTCAAATGAAATACAAATATAATCTATAACCACAAATGTATAACCACATATGGATCTTATCAAAATCTTACATGACGGTTCTAAGTTTACTCTAATCAATTATCCATAGTTGATAAAGGTATCATCCTAGCCCCACACTTATTGTCACTTCTGCTAAGGCTTTGCATTCTCCAGTGTCCATTGTATATTGAATCAAGTCCCACTACACAGCACGAAGATTCTGTGGTAAGTGTAAATCTGTAACTCCCTTATTTTTAGCTCTCCAGGAATCTATTAAATTGATGTTAGTAATAATGGTGTAATATAGGGACGCGGGTGGCGCTGTGGGTAAAACCTCAGTGCCTAGGACTTGCCGATCGTATGGTCGGCAGTTTGAATCCCCGCGGCGGGGTGAGCTCCCGTCGTTCGGTCCCAGCTCCTGCCCACCTAGCGGTTCGAAAGCACCCTTAAGTGCAAGTAGATAAATAGGTACCGCTTTATAGCGGGAAGGTAAACGGCGTTTCCATGTGCTGTGCTGGTGCAGGCTCGCCAGAGCAGCTTTGTCACGCTGGCCATGTGACCCGGAAGTGTCTTCGGACAGCGCTGGCCCCCGGCCTCTTAAGTGAGATGGGTGCGCAACCCCAGAGTCGGTCACGACTGGCCCGTACGGGCAGGGGTACCTTTACCTTTAATAATGGTGTAATAGGTGTTTTTTACTCCCATGAGATGTTTGGGTTGGATCTGCCCTTTGATCAAGTCTAAGATCACATACAACAGTGGCTCCCAATTGGTGGTCCACGGACCACCCACCCAGGGGCTCCATGGCACCATCCACATAAGAAAAACTGCCACAGAGATATCAAAATGTTCAAAGGTAGGGTGGCCCATGGTTTGGCTTTTGAAAAACAAGGAGTCTGCAGTACTTAGCTACCATTTCCCCCCGAAAGTAAAACATCCCCCCAAAATAAGAACTATAATAATAATAATAAATAATAAATTTTATTTATATCCCGCCCTCCCCAGCCGAAGCCGGGCTCAGGGCAGCTAACAGCAATCAAATAATCAAACAATCAAATAATCCAACATTCTAAAAACATTTCATTATAAAAATTAATTAAAATCAAATTAATGGCAACCGTTAAGAAAAATTCAACAAGCTCAGTCAATGAGTCAAAAGGGGGAGCAAGGTCCCGCAAGGCTTGACGGAATCTATCAGGGTCCATCAGCCTCTGCGGGTGAGCCCAAATCGGCTCACCACCTAAGCAGGGTGGGGGTGGAAAGTCAATCCTGGCTTTCAGTGCGTAGTGATCAGACCATGGCACCTTCATTGAAGGAGACATGATCACATCTATACCGGTGCCAAAGATCAAATCCAGCGTGTGGCCTGCTTGATGTGTGGGGCCCGAAACAAACTGGGAGAGCCCTAGTGTCGCCATGGAAGACACCAGGTCCAGAGCCTGTGAGGAGGGAGTGGCATCAGCATGGATGTTGAAGTCCCCCAATACCAATAGGTTAGGTAACTCCAAGGCCCAGCCGGCCACCGCCTCCAGCAGGCCTGACAGGGTGGCTGCTGGTGCGCTAGGTGGCCGGTACACCAGCCAGACAGCCAAGCTCACCTCAGAGCCCCACACTAGGCCAACACATTCAATGCCGGGGATCGATGGCGATGGTAGAGCCCTGAAAGAACAATCTTCCCGGATTAATAATGCCACCCCTCCCCCCCCCAGCCCACAGTCCATGACTGGTGGAGGACGGAGAAACCTGGGGGCACCATCTCTCGTAAGGTAACAGTTTCCCCTTCGTGCACCCAGATCTCCGTCACACAAGCCAAGTCGACCCCCTGCGAGGTAAAGAAATCTCGCAGAGTGGCGGTTTTGTTGCCTATAGACCTGGCATTGCACAGCACCAGTGACGGAGGTGAGTAATCCTTGCTCACCCTACCCTCGTCCCTCGGGATGGGGCGCAGATTGGAAGGGGTACGAGCATATCCATATCTCGATCCCCTTCACCTATAACATCTGCCCCCACCTCCATACCTCCCTCGCCCCTCCACGGTAGCAATCCCAAGCCACATACTGGCCTCCATTTACAAAATAGAAAAACAAAACAAACCAAAAACAATTATACCCAAACAAAACCAATCCCCACCCCAAACCACAATAAAACGGAACAAAATAAGAATACACAGACAAAAACCACCGTTCACGGTGGTACAACAAAGTAAAAAGTAAAAGCGCCTTTAAAACACTTTAAAACATATAAAAACATTTTCAACATTTGCTGCAGCAGCACCAATGTCCTTCAAACTGTAGCGGAGGTGAGTCTGGGCCCCGCCCCCTAGGCCTGGTGGAATTAGCCTGAGGAGGGAGCGGCCTTCCCCAACACTCACAGAGCAGCTGTTATATAAGGCCTCCCCCGGACATAAGGCCTCCCCAGAATATAAGGCCCCCAAAGCTACCGTAAGGCGTTTGACTCCTCTGGACCGTAGTGGCGGGTGCAGCTGCGCAGCTCACTGATTGGCCGCAGTGCAGCTGGAGCTGTTCAGGCAGTGCGAGGTCTCTTTAAATCAGAGAGCCCGTGCCGCCACCAGGACAAGCTGCCGCCTGCTGCTCACTCTGCCTTGACGGAGTCTGGCTGACTCCCAATTAGACAATAACTGTGTACCGTATTCTTCTTCATGGAAAAATAAGACAGCCCCTGAAAATAAGACCTAGAGCATCTTTGGGATCAAAAATTAATATAAGACACTGTCCTATTTTCGGGAAAACAGGGTAACTGGGAACCACTGGCATACAGGGTTTAAGTTCCCAGCTAGTATTATACAACCCCACTGCCCATTTGTAAAGTTTACTCAATACCTATGCCCAAAAGGATAAGTGGTTGGTATTGGGTGCAACAATGGAGATGAATGGAATTGGATTTTGATCCAGGAGACCTTGCACAAATAGAAAGTGACCCTCTGTTAATCTATTCTTGGTAATAAATGCCAGACCAGCTCGCTGTTCTACTACCAAGCTGTGGATGAGTAAGATCTTACTCTGATCTTGTACATCCATCAACACGGTTGAAAAGTGTTGTTAGATACTTAAAGGGAACCATGAACTGTCTTAAACTGCCAGCTGACAGGAGGTTGGACTAGATGACCCTTGGGGTGTCATTCAACTCTAAATTTCTATGTGTCTGTGATTCTATCCAAGAGAGTTACATGAACTACCCTCTCTCATACACATACCTCATCTGCTATTATTTTAAGTTAGAGATTGCTGGTTATTCAGATTGTTTAGCAGATAACTGTAGAAATATTTTCCTAAAGACAGTGTTGCTCAGCTTTAGGTTCCTGCAACTCCTTTTGAAGCTGAGCTAATCAGAATAAACCATTTAAAAGGATGCCTTCACCCTCTTCTGAATCACCGCATTCACTAGGTTAGAGAAGCAGGAAGAGAAGCCTTTCTGTCTCTGCAGCCTAGTGAGAAGCAGCAGCCGCTCATCTGGGCAATGATGTGGAGGAGTACATATGTAGGTCTTTGGTAGTAGAGAAAAGTGCATGCAAAAGTATATTTGGAGAGGGAAAGAATTAATTATGAAAACTGAATCCGCAACTTTTTGGAAGTCATACCATTAACAAATGTTTCTTCAAAAACTTACGTGAGTGAAGCTACTATCCCTGACAGCCATGTCCATGTCACTCCCTTGTCTTTAAAGAGTCCAATCCAAAACCACCGTTTACGGTCTTTTACTTGCTTATTCACAAATTGCTAGGGTGAGGTGGGGTGGAGAGAAGGAACAAACAGAACATCTTTCTAGACATTGTATTTTCTCTCGGAGACTATAGTCCTTTACAGACATTCAACAGGAATAAAACAAACACATTTCAAAAGGAGTAGATGTCATCATTGAAGGCCCAATTCACATATTTTGGGGAAGCAGTGATCAAAAATATACAATGTATTCCAAGTATGGTTGCAGTATCAATGCATTACAATTTTGGCAGTTTTATTTTTGATCCATTTCCTAATGATCCCTTCAATGGAATTTGTGATCTGATATGGATGACATCTAGCAGGACAGTGACCTATGTGGCAAATACTCCAATTTCTGCATCCATGTTTGTTGGTTGGTTCCAAAGACACTGGAATCAGTCTGGTTGTGGTATGCTTGATGGCATGATGATGGGGTCTCATACATGTCTATGCCCTGTAGCACCCCAGTATCCCCTCTGCCAGGGCTAAGGCACTGGGAGGGGTTTATACCTTGTAAGCTCCTCTAGAGTCATCTCCATGATACTCTCATGCCAGAGGGTGGTGAGGGAAGCCTTCTTTCTGAGCACTCAGTACATCTCAAATAGCAGAGTAAGACTCTACAGGCAATCAAGGGGACAGATGCCCCTCACGTATCTACTCCTCCTCCTTCAAGGCCTCCTTTCTGACTGCCAACTTCAGTTTATTAGAGTTCAGCAGCTCCAAGAAACCTTAGTTAGTCCCAGATGGTAGCAGCTGCTCCCTGTCCCACCCAACCCATGGCTTGACTGATGGAGTTGCTGTCTTGGTTGCATACCAAGAACTTCTTAACTGATTAGTGATAGTAGGATCCCTTTGGCTCAAGAAGATCCCCTACCTTTCCTATACTCAGCTTTGATGCTCACCTGTTCTTCCGATGTTTCGAAAGAAAGGAGCTTGGCGCCTTCCCTCTCACACTTTTTTTGGGAATCCACCCATGAGTGTTGCTCATGAGAAAAGAAATAGAATGTCCTTGCATATATAACCCAACCATCATTCAAGTTTCCAATAAGGTGGTCTTTGAGTCAAGCCAGATATGGAGGAAGAATAGAAAAAGAAAACAAGATAGGCAATTTAATGGGATAATCTCAAAGGGTGTCCAGAGCAGAGTCTGTTTCCATTGTGTTGGGTGTGTTTCATTTGGTAAGGTTCAAGAATGCGGACAAGGAGCTTGGATTGGTCAGGACATCTGGAACTATGGGGATGGCCCTGCCTGGATTCCCGCCACTCTTACCAGGGTGACTGGGCCAGTCTCCTGCAAGGCTGGATGTTCACTTGATGTTCAGGTCCACTACCAGCCTGTGGACCAAATGCACTGCAACCTAGCTGATGCCCCAACTCCAGCCACTGCTACCACACCAGAGCACAGGGACAAGGTGAACAATCAGCCTGGCTCACAGGATGATGCACCTGATGAGAACCCTGTTTTGATTCGAGACATGATATCCAATCACAGGACATTTGAGGATCTGGGCTATTGCCATTGGCCCTTTAACTTTAAGTTATGATTCACAGCTTGGGAGTTTAGAAATCCAATCACATTGGGAGTAGCAGTGGCACAGGACTTCAGAAATGCATAAAGCAGTTGCTTTGTCCCTGTTGTCCAGTTCCATTAGTTTAATAAAGGTTCTTGTTGTCAATGGATCTTGCCTCGTGTGAACCCACCTAAAATTCATTAGCTATATAAGAAGTGGTTCCAATGAAGGAGAACCCACTTTAGAAACCTGTGCAGATTAATGGAGGACCCTATCCTGACCTAGCTTTGGGGCCTGGGTACAGGTCTTTTAGGTGACCTGTTTTGATTGTCTCTGTTATAGCAAAGAATGGCAAAGTCTTTTCTTTCCTAACCATAGAGGCTAAATCAATTAAACAGTTCAGGAGAGCTGAACTGAATATCTCTGATGTTTCCCTAGGGTGGCTGGATGCAAAGGAGGGCACCAGTCTGCTCTGGCTCTAAGAGTTTTCGGCTAGAGGAGGGGCTTTCAGATGGTGCAGACTAAGGGCAGGTTCCCAATGCACTACAAGTCTTCAGCATCATAGGGTATCTTACCAATTTCTTTTTGCAGTTCATCATTTCTGTTGGCAAAATACCGCATTTCCTCTGATATGTTTTGAGCTACAGCGAGTATTTGGAAGTCTAAAAGATTTGAAATTGTTCAAGGCAAAAGAGTATCTGAAATAACAATCTGCAAATATTAAGAAACCATTTTCAAGCATTTTAAAACACTTTAGCCTGAAACAAGAAGCAGAGCTCAAGGATTGGGTTCTTATGAATATGAGGGCAGACTTGATTCTCTGTGGCTGAGATCACCAATGAAAGGCCTCAGAAGAATCCTGCAGCTGGATCAGACCAAAGACCCATGCAATCCATGAAGCCAGTGTGGTGCAGTGGTTAAGAGCGGTAGTCTCGTAATCTGGGGAACCGGGTTCGCGTCTCCGCTCCTCCACATGCAGCTGCTGGGTGACCTTGGACCAGTCACACTTCTTTGAAGTCTCTCAGCCCCACTCACCTCACAGAGTGTTTGTTGTGGGGGAGGAAGGGAAAGGAGAATGTTAGCTGCTTTGAGACTCCTTCAGGTAGTGAGAAAGCGTGATATCAAATCCAAACTCTTCTTCTATCCTATTCTCATATTAAAACTGGCTCGTGAAGTATCTCTAATGTTCCCTTCCTATGTCCTCCTTTTCTGCTGGGAATCACAGGGTCAAAAACCAATTCCCACCTCGAGTCCCATATACAAAGAATACTTTGTAGTTTTCAATTATGCTTCGTGAAATCTAAGAAAACAGAGGCGCCAAATCTCTTTTTCTGATGAATACTGGGTTTCATTCCGCATAGAGCTAAGGAGAACATTATGTCAGTGCAGGAATTTCTCCTTGTGCAATGCAATCTTCAGCCCCTTTCCCTCCAATCTGTTCTGAAGTTTCCCCCACCCTGGAGAGCAGCTTTGGTGATGGCATGCAGGGAGAGTGGGGGCAAAGTTCCCTTGTGCTAGTGCTAAAATCTTACAGTAGCACAAACATTGTGAATTACAGTTTGATGGGGAAGGACAGCATTTCTAGTGGGGAGATGGGAGAATCACAACCATCTGCTTTTCTTCCTGCTGAGCAATGAAACAGTGATAAACTCTATTGGGTGTTGAGTTTCATTGAATACAGTATATTTATTGCTCACACAATATGAATCCCAAACTACAGGAATTGAAGCCTGTTTAAATTAAATAGGGTCTAGCAAAAGTGAGGATGTGCATAAAAAAATGCTTACCATCCTTGTCTTCATGGATTGTATCAATCCCAACAACAAAGGTCCGAATCATATTCATTGCCTCCTGAATCTCCTCTCTCTTTTTCATTTCCTTCTGATCTAAGGAGGAGGTAGGTAGAAAAGAAATGAAGAAATTGTGTTCTAGCAACCTGGACTGATGAGCTGGGGGAGGGGATACTTGGTTTCAAGCTGCTTTTAATATTGAATTTAAATTGCTGACTTGTAATGCAAATAAACATCAAATCAACAAAAACATGAATATGACTTCTATTAATATTTTCTTCTCCCGGCCTTTGATTGTGGCTCCCCTGGTGGTTGTGGGTTGTGATACATAAGTACAACATTCCTTGTTTTCCTAGAGTGGACATGCAGGGGGATTTTTGTTCCAGCCAGTTGGAACTTCCTTTTTCCTCCTGGGCTGGGACATACTTTCTTTTGTATGTGACTAGAGGTGGGCATGACCTTACCTGTTCAGGTAACAAAAGCAAAGGGCACGCAGCACCCTCTCTCTTTTCCATCTTCCTTATGTCGTGTGAACTGCAGTAACTGCCAGTCTGCAGTCACTGGGATTAATCAACCATATGGGGTAGATCCAGATGTATGTACTTTTTAACTACTTTTGTTTTCAGGGATCCATCTGTGAACTGAATGTGTGAGTAAACCACTTTTATATACTTTACACAAGATTGTGGTATGTTTATTCTTTTAAGAGGGATATAAGGGGACTTACCAGGAACCTAATATTAAGAAGCTTAAACAAGCCTGCAACCAGTTATCTGGTGTGCGTTTAAAAGGGGAATGTAAAACTCTGCTAAGTTATAGAACATGATAGCTCAAGTTAGGAAGGATATTAATAAACAATATATTCTGTCCTGCCTCCCTGAACATTCCTACAGTGGTCTGAAGTCCTGTTTACATTTGGCCTGTTGCTTCTGTCATTAAATGGTTGGCCTTCCTTAGAGAGCTTTAATTTTTTGGGTGTCTAGATCATGGGTAGGCAAACTAAGGCCCAGGGGCTGGATCCGGCCCAATTGCCTTCTAAATCTGGCCTGCAGACAGTCCGGGAATCAGCATGTTTTTACATGAGTAGAATGTGTCCTTTTATTTAAAATGCATCTCTGGGTTATTTGTGGAGCATAGGAATTCGTTCATCCCCCCCCCCCCAAATATAGCCCAGTCCCCCACAAGGTCTGAGGGACAGTGGACCGGTCCCCTGCTGAAAAAGTTTGCTGACTCCATTCTAGATGCACATTTCCTCTTTGTCCTACGGACGTGCATTTGCCAGGCTGCCTCATACTCTGCCATATGCAAACTCTTGGATCATTTGATTCCCTCCCCACAAGATTTGCTTACTTTGGAGTGCCCTTTAAAAATGAATTAGCTAAGCAAGTAGGTCATGTGTTCATCTATCTAGTGCTATTTTTCTAGAAAAACAGGCACAGGAACTCACCATGAATTTCTCCCTTGTTCTCTTAAAATGGCAACGGCGCCCAACTCAGAGGGGCCAGAACAGAGTCCTGATGAATTCCGGCTGAAAAAGGCCCTGCATATATCTAGATATTTAGGTAAGCTCTGGACTCGCCCACTTTGGTCATGGCCTTATCCTCTGCAGCCTGTTTTCCCCAAGCACTTTCCTTCAGGGGACTGGAGCCCTAGCAGAGGGCAGGGTGGTGAGGATCAGGAATGGGGGCTCTCCCCCAGCAAATAAGGATTAGTTGGGAAAGGAGCAGAGAATTGCAATTGGGAAAGGGAATTGCCCAGGGTGTTCCAGGGACTTGTGTTAGCCTGTGCTTCTGTTCCAAGTGCTGGAACTCACTTATTCAGGGAGAACAAAACAGTGTCATTGCTCTCAATGAATGACAGCTGTAACTCAACCCCTGAAATCAAGGAGGGGTGAAATGGGTAAATGGAAGGTGGAACCTGCCATCTCTTTTTGGAAATGCTATTGGAATTGAAGCAAAGCCCGCGACAGTAGTATCAATGTACGCCAATTTTGTACTTACATAGGAGGAAAATCAGCAGTGTCAACACAGTAAGGGCGATAATCACAGATACGATAATGTATTCACCCATGGGAGAATTTATGAGGGTTACAAAGTCCTGAAAAACAGATGCTTGAAGACAGAAAATTCTGCTTTAGCCATCGGTAGCCAACATATCATTGCTACCCCAGAAAAAATGATTTTCATACACTGTGGTAGCCATTAGCCAGAGACATTCAGTGGTTCAGGGGGTGGATCCTTGGAAAGGTAAGGAGATGGAGGAAGCAAGGCGAGATGCCTTGCTGCTTGAGGAAACTTTTCTTTCTTTTTCTTTTTAAAAAAGTTTTAATCTATACTTTTCAAGTTTATAGATTTCATTAGTTTTACAATCATTTTAACATTTCAAAGTTTGACTTCCTTTCTCCTCTTTCTGTGGTTCCTTAAAATTATTTTTTAATATATTCCGCATATCCCAATTCATTTAACTTACTCATTTAATTATCTACTTTAAATATATACTCTTATGAAACTGCACATTATTATTATAATCCTCCTAATGTTTTTATCTGTTTTCAACTTATCTGTAAATATTCAATAAACCATTTCCATTCTTATCCTTCCTGTAAGTTTCAACATTTCTGCATATTCCGTAAGTTTTTGTAGCCGTTTTTCCTTTGCTGGGACTTCTGCTTCTTTCCACTTTGGGGCAAGTAACATTCTTCCTGCTGTAGTAGCATACATAAATAAATTTCCATACAATTTAGGTAGCTCTGTCCCTATAATTCCCAAAAGAAAAGCTTCTGGTGAAGCATTGCCACCCCACCCCAGTCACCATTCTCCCCTCCCCCTTTTACCCCCTTTTCTTCCTAATGCAACACTAATGTCTCAATAAATGAAACTGATCTGTAGAAAATGTAACTTGAAAAATAAGAGTCATTGCACATACTTTTGTAAACCAAGAAATCTTTAGTAAAAATATAAAAAGAAAGAAAGAAAGAAAGAAAGAAAGAAAGAAAGAAAGGAAGGAAGGAAGGAAGGAAAGTTTCTGGGTTTTTTTTTTACAAAAGTTATTTTGAACATCCATTTCAATTTATTGTATATCATTTCCCAGTAAGCGTTAACCTTGTTGGATACCAACGATATATCATTCCTTTAATATCTTGATTGTATATTATTCTTTGTGCTAATACTTCTAAAACTATTATAAACAACAAAGGTGACAATGGACAGCCTTGTCTTGTTCCTTTAGTTATTTTACAGTTCTCAGTCAGGACGCTATTTACCATCAACTTAGCTGACTGGTCGGTATATACTGCCTTAACTCCTTTTATAAAATTGTCTCCACAACCCATATACTCTAAAACTTTAAACATAAAATCCCAGGAGACATTATCAAATGCTTTCTCAGCGTCTAGAAACATTAAAGCCAATTGTTTTTCATTTCTCATTTGTAAATATTCTAATATACAAATTACATTTCTAATATTATCTTTCATTTGTCTTTTTGTCAAAAATTCAGCCTGGTCATAATAATCACCTTTTTTAATACCAGTTTCTTTTTTTCTTTTTTTATACAACAAGAAAAAAACACACACAAAAAACACAAATACCAAATTACACACAAATTACAAAAATAACCATAGACACATTATTTTCTTGGCAAACAATAAAACATCTATTGGTCTTAACACTAAAGACCCAACTTCCCGTCTATTCCATATTTCAAATTCATATTACGTATTGCCAATACACATTTTTTTTTTCATAATTAAACTTATTCTCAATAAATCTAATTTCTTCTATCTACCTAGCAACTATCACTGAAGTTCCTCGAATGCTGCAACAGAATTTAAACTACTATATTTATTTTTCAGATATTCTTTGAAAACCTCCCATTTAGAAACAAATTCCTGTTTTGATTTATTCTTCATTTTTTCTGATAAACCATCTAATTCGGCATATTCTGTCAGCTTTTGGATCCAATCTTGTATAGAGGGGATTTCATTACTCTTCCATTTTGCTGCGATCAAAACTCTTGCTGCCGCCATCGCATATAAAAGATACCCTTCCTCTTTTGTGAAATATCCAAATCTGTTATTCCCAGGAGGTAGGCCTCTGGTTTTTATTGAAAGAAATCTTTAGCATTTTTGCAGTTCTGCATGTATACTCTCCCAGAATACCTGTATTTTCCTACATATCCACCACATATGGTAGAATGTTCCTGAGTCTCCGCATCTCCAACAATTACTTGACACATTTTTATACATTTTTGAAAGTTTCCATGGTGTTAGATACCATCGATGTTGCATTTTTTTGAAAGTTCTCTCTAATTGTGTAACAGTTTGTGAATTTCCAATTGATCTTCCATAAATTTTCCCATTGGGCTATGGTTATTGGATGGCCAAAATCCTGGGACCACCTCACCATTGCCACTGTTACCTCCTCCTCCTTGACTGTCCAGTCAAGGAGGAGTCGGTAAGTTTTGGAAAGAGTTTTTCTTTTAGAGTTTACAAGATCAGATTCGAATTGGGAAATTTCTGCTGAGAACCCCTTTCGTTTGTCAGATTTAAATTTTTCAAATAACTGATGGTATTGGAACCAGTCTGAAATGTGTTCTCTTATCTCTTTTTAATTTTATTTGGTTATCCTCATTTTTTAGAAGTATTTTATATGTTGGCCAGCTTTCCTGAGTATTTTTCCGTTTTACTGCTATGGCTTCTACTGGAGAAGTCCACCATGGGACTTTAGGCTCCATCAGGTCTTTATATTTTTCCCATACAGCAAAGAGTGACTTTCTTATTATATGGTTGGTAAAATTTTTATGAATTTTCGCTTTTCCATATATTAGGTAGGCGTGCCATCCCCAACGGTTGTCAAAACCTTCCAGGTCCAGGAGGTCCGGATCCTGCAACGTGCACCAATCTTTTAGCCAGGTGAAACAGGCAGCCTCGTAGTAAAGTTTTAGATCGGGTAGGGAAAAGCCTCCTCTCTCTTTTATGTCTATTAAGATCAGGTGTTTAATCCTAGGTTTCTTCCCTTCCCACAAGAATTTGGAAATTTCTCTTTGCCATTTCTTGAGACAACTTGCTTCACCCAGTATCGGAATCATTTGAAATAAAAAGATTAATTTTGGAAGCACATTCATCTTTATAATGGAAATCCTACCCAGAAATGTTAATTTTAGTTTGCTCCAGATTACCAAGTTTTTTCTAATCTCTAACCAAGTTTTGGTGTAATTATCCTGAAATAAGTTTATGTTCTTGGGGGTAATCCAAATACCCAAGTATTTCGCTTTTGAAGAGATTTTCAGGCCCAATATTTTTCTAAGTCGTCCTTTTCTTCTGTGGTTACATTTTTAACAAGGATTTTTGTTTTTGTTATATTCAGTTTAAAGCCTGCCACATCTCCAAATTCTTTAATCAATTCCAGCACTCTTTTCAGACTTTCTTTAGGGTTTTCAGTCATAACAAGTAAATCGTCCGCAAAAGCTTTAATTTTATATGTTTTGTTTCCCGGAGTGATGCCTTTAACAAGCTCATCCTTTCTTATCTGATTGTTCAAGACTTCCATCACCAAGATAAATATCAGTGGTGACAGTGGGCAGCCCTGTCTTGTTCCCTTGTTTATTTTGCACTCCTCAGTAATTCTTCCGTTGATGATCAATTTTGCATATTGTTCCGAGTAGATGGCATTTATTCCTTTACAAATATTTTCTCCCAGTCCGATTTCTTCCTTTAATTTTTTCATAAACTTCCAGGACACGTTATCAAAAGCTTTTTCAGCGTCCACCAACATAATAGTTGCTGGTTTATCAATTTTAATATCCAAATATTCTAATACATCAATCACACATCTAATATTGGATTGCATAAATCGTCCGGGAAGAAATCCGGTTTGATCTTTATGAATTATCTCGTTCAGCACCATTTTTAATCTATTTGCAAGAATGTCTGTGAATATCTTGTAATCGTTATTTAGCAGTGCAATGGGTCTGTAATTGGCCATGTTTGAGGCATCTGATCCCTGTTTATGGATAAGAGTAATAAAGCTGTCCTTCCAGGTTTTCGGAAGCTTTCCATTTGTCAGAATATTATTCATTAGGTCTTTCATGGGAAGAAATAATGCTTGTTCTAACTTTTTATAGTAATTAGCTGGAAGACCATCTGGGCCCGGTGTCTTTCCTAATTTTGATCTCTGTATAGCTTGTTGCACCTCCATAGCTGTTATTGGTGAGTTCAAGATTTCAGTTTTTTCCTTAGGTATTATTGGTAATTTATTTTTGCCGAAATAATCAATTATTTTTTCTAGAGTATCTGGACCTTCTTTATATAGTTTTCCGAAAAAAATAGCAAAGTTTTTACTAATTTCCTTCGTTTCTTGAATCCATTTGTCTTCAATTTTAATTTTATTGAGCATTCTATCTTCCTTTTTCTTCTTTAATTGCCAGGCCAGAAGTTTGCCAGGTTTATTTGCAAACTCAAAATTTCTATGTCTCAACCATTTTATCTTCCATTCTATCTCATCATTTATTATCATGGAGAATTGCGTCTGTAGAATTTTTATACTTTACTTAATTAGTTCATCATCTGGTTTTTGGAAAAGGATCCTTTCCTTTTTTCTAATTTCCTCCCAGATCTCCATTTTCTTCTTCTCCTTTGTTTTCCTTTGGAATGCGTTTTGTTGTATAAAGAAACCTCTTATGACGGCTTTACTCGCGTCCCAAACCGTCTCTAGATCTACTCCTTGATTTAAATTAAACGTAAAATATTCTTCTAAGATTTGCTTGGCCTTCTGTACAATTTTTTCATCGTTTAGCATACTCTCATTAAGTTGCCACCTTTTAACCTTTTCTTCTTTCCCTTTAAAGTTAACCCAGACCGCATTGTGATCTGAAATTGTCCTTGGATGGATTCCTGCTTTTGTAATATTTAATAAATCCTTTATTGTCCAGATCGCGTCAATTCGTCCCGCCGATTTATGTGGCTCTGATTAATGTGTAAATTCTTTATCTGCTGGATTCTTAAACCTCCAACTGTCGAACAAATTCAGGAGTTCTATTAATTGGAAAAATGTAGTTGGGAGTTTGTTCTGCCTCTTTTCTTTCCTCTTTATTGTTCTGTCCATGTTTGGATTGACTACTCCATTAAAATCTCCTAATAATATAATTCCCCCCCCTAAGTATTCTATGACTTTTTCTTCCAGGAATTGATAGAATTCGGATTTTCTTTCATTTGGTGCATAAATTCCAATAACTATCACTTTTTCATTATTGATCTTAACCTCTATAATCACTGTTCGGCCTTTTTCATCATTGTAAAGCAGTTTTGACTCCAGCTGAGGTTTTACATAGATTACCACCCCTCTCTTTTTTTCTTTACTTGATGCAATAAACTCAAGTCCCAATCTCTTATTTATTAATACTCTTTTATGTTTTTCCGCTACATGAGTTTCTTGCAGACAGATTAGGTCATATTTTTGCTTAACCAGAATATGTTCCATCTTGTTCCTTTTTTATTTTTCATTTAAACCATTTACGTTCCAAGTAATAAATTTATAATCCATACTTTATTTCTTATGATACGTCAACGGGTTAAAAAAAAAATACACATTCAAGGTCTCAGTATACATTTAATAAATTCCCTTCTTAGATCTGTCTCCTAACTCTCAACTGTTTGTTCAATTTCCTCTGATTCTCCCAACAATTGCCTTTTTCCTCCAAGGTCTTTCCGGTACTTTCTCCAGAACTTGTCCCTATCTAATGCCGACAAGCACTTTCTACGTTTCCCTTTAAAGAAAAAGGAGATGCCTTCAGGGTACTCCCAGTTTCAATCTATTTGCTAATACATTTGAAAAAGTTTATAATCATTCAACAGAGATATAGGTCAATAATTTTTTAGTTGCTCAGGGTCTCTATCTTGTTAAGAAATCAGAGTTATATAAGCATTCTTCCACAATTCTGGCAGTTCACCTGTCTTTAAAATCATATTCATAATGTCATTTAATTGTTATATTATATAATCCTGCATCTACTTATAGTATATTGCTGACAGACCATCAGTTCCTGGTGCTTTCAAAGGTTTTGCCTGTAAAATTACTTGCTGTACTTCCATCATTGTCACCAGTGCATTCAAAATTGTCATTTCATCTATTGGTATTTTAGGGATTATACTATCTTCTGGATATTTTTGCATTTTCCACAATATAGTTTGGTATAAAAACTCATTAATTGATCTATCTCTTTAGGATTTTCCACAACTCTACCTCCTATGTTAATTTGATTTATACAGGCTTACTCTTGCCTTTTTGTTTATTTGCCATGTTAATAATTTCCCTGGTTTATTAGACTGCTCAATTGTTTTTGTTTTAAATATTTAATTTTCCACTCTATTTCTTGATTTATTATAATTGAAAACTGTGTTTGCAGTATCTTAATATCCTGTTTCACCCTTTCTTTTCTAGGGGAATTTATTGATTCCATTTTCTTTCCTATTTATTTCTTCTAAAATTTGTTGCATGGGATGCATCCCTGCTTTACTTGCATCCCATACCACTTTCAAATTTTTCTCCTGATTTAGATTGATTTCAAAACAATCTCTTAATGTTCCCCCCTTTTCTAATATCTCTTGATTATTTAATAAATTCTTATCTAGTCTCAATGGCAATTTTGCTCTGTTCTTAATTCTATAATAATAGAGTTGTGATCTGCTAATGTCCTGGGTAAAATTTCTACCTTCTTTACCTTAGTGTAACAAATCTCTATCAGTCCATACAGAGTCCGTTCGACTCACTGAATTATTCTCAGACAAGTAAAATGTAAATTGTCTGTCCAGTGGGTGTTTCTCTCTCCACATATCAATTAGACTTAAGTTTTCTGTCATCTGAAAAAGGCCTTAGGTAGCTTCCCTTCTTTTGTATCGCTTCTTCTTATAGTCCTGTCCCATTCCAGGGAAGCTACACCATTCATATCTACCATCAAAATTGTCTTTTCATTCATATATTCAAATAAGATTTCCTCATCTCTTATAAAAATCAGCTTTTTTCTCATTTGGTGCATCTACCTCTATTAACATTCTTATTCTCACTTCCGGGGTGGCGCCATCAGCAATGGCGGACTCCCTCTGAATTGGAGGGACTAGCTCTGCACGAAACGGGTCTTTTCCGCTAAGGCGAAGCGGGGACCCTTTTAAAAATCACAGGCGGATGAAGCCTGTGACCATGGGACTCAGCGGGCACACTTAGCGCCCCCCAACCCGCAAAGGAACCCACTAACAGGCTCCGAAGCGAAGAGGGGGAAGTGGCGCGGTGCTGTGAGTCAACTGCTATTTCCGTGGAACGAAGCCACATAGCCGTTGCCGGAGAGCGCTGCCTTTTTCCTGGGACAATTTGGCTTCTAAAATAAGCACCCGTGAGTACTTAAACTTTGAACAATTGGACTTTAAATAAGGACTTGCGACCAGAAAGGAATTGGACTTAAAAAATTTATTTCAATTTGGTACTGACACGGGAAGGTCTAAACAGGAAGTCAGCCTTCCGTTTCTTTGTAGACAGAATAAAGCAAAGACAACGTAAACTAGAGCTCAGAAAATCGCTTTTAAAGGATTGGCTTTCATCATTTAAAATTGTTGAACCCCCCTTCGGCAGCAGGAGAAGAAGGGGATCTTTTCTGGACTGTTTAAACCTGCAGAAGTGAGTTTAAAGTAAAGTAACTTTCCATCGTCCTGACCCTGGAGCGGGGTGTCAGGACTGATGTTTGAAGCTCATTGACCAGAGACAAACGCTTTTGACAGATAGCTAAAAGAAGAGAAACATAGTGATTCCATTGTTTCCTTTCGCACCTTAAAGGAACAAATATTGACAAAATATCTGAAAAAAGGAAACTCTGTTGCTAGACTTGTCTTTAAAAGAAAGATTAAATAGAAGTTTTCCCCCTAGAGGGAGACTGTGAAACTGTAACCAACTCCTGGGAGCTGGCAGCTGTTACAGATTACAATCGTGGGAATAGACATCTGACCTTCAGGACAATGTATTCAGAAGCTCTGTTGTGTGCTTTCTATAAAACAAATGCCCTACTGGAACAGCTACATGAGAAGACGAATTTGATGGCTGATTCGATTAGAAATTTTGAACAGGCAGTGGGAAATTTTGAACAGGCAGTGGGAAAATATGTGGAGCCCACCCAGGAATTAAATCAGGAGTGTGCCCTGACAGAACAGGCCCAACAGGAATATGAACTTTCGGATTTGACAAATGAACTTGGAAAAAGCCAGATTTGGAAAGAAAAAGTTTGGTTTGGCTTGAAAATGGGGGGTTGGATAGACCCTCCTATGCAGGGATGTTTGGACTCAAGTCTGGCAATGGGCCATGAGATGTTTGGGATTGTGGGGGCTCTCAATTTTGGAGGGATTTTGAAACATGTTTTTAAATACCACATGGAATTTAGTGTCGATTATGGAAAAGGGGCTGATCTGTCGAGAAGGGTCAAAAATATTGCTAAGCTGGAGTTCCCATGAGTGAAACGAGCAGGAGACAAGGGAAAATACAGTTACAAATATGAAGAAGAGCTGCGGAAGGGACATGGAAGAGACTTAAGGGCCTCGGATATTAGGATACCAGGTTAATGTGCCAGATTGATGGGATAACAAGGACTGACAAAACCCGGGACCAGGAGGAAGGGACGCTGGATGAAGATTGGATTTGTTTTTATTTCTCTTTTTCACTACTAGGACTGTTTTACAAAATTGATGAATGTTAGAAAAATGTTGGAATGAAATTACTTGGCTTTAGTAAAAATGTTTAAAGAATTATGCAAGAATATTATGGTTATGAGAAGTTGGTAAAAATAAGATTTAAGTTTTAAGTTTCAAGGTTTTTTATGGTAAGATAAGATTAAAATAGTTTAAGGTAATATAATGATAGAATATTATGAAATATGGAAAGGATTTGCTGTGACAATTAACAACCAGGATACAAGGAAGGGGAGGAGGAGGAGGTCAAGGAAAGAGGGTAATGATAGTTGAGGAGTTGAGAATAATGGATTTGTTTTTAAACGTTTTTAAATGTTTGTGGTGTATTTTTGTTTTTTTCCCCTCTCTTATTTTGAATTTGTATATGTATGGTTGGCTTGTTTTTCTCTTTTTCTACTTTGTTTTTCTTTTGTAACTTTAAAAAAAAAATTTTTTTCCAATAAATATCATTTAAAAAAAAATATTAACATTCTTATTCTCTCTCCTTGTGATGTTATCTGGCTTATCAATATTCTTCCTTACTCATCTTTAAATAATTGTTTTGGATCTAATTCTGGTTTTATATGCATTACTATGCCTCTTTTCTTTGTATGGTCAGAGGCCACAAAGTCCTTTCCTAACCTTTTATTGATCAGAATTATTCTGTGTTTCATCACAATATGCGTTTCCTGAAAGCAAATCACATCCAAATTTATTTATTTCTACCACATGTTCAATCCCTGCCCTTTTTGTTTTATTATTGAGTCCATTTACATTCCACATTAAGATTATCAATGCCATTTTGTCCCTTATTTATTTATTTCTCTTCTCCCCCTCTGTTGATTCTTCTTCATGTCGTGGCTCCAAACCAAATGCTCTTTCTCCTGCTAATTCTTTTCCATATTTTCTCCAGAATTTATCTGTTTCTGCGGGATCTCTACATCTCTGCTTTCTCCCTTTAAATGTAAAGGAGACTCCCACAGGGTATTCCCAAGGAAAAGTGATTTTGTTGTATCATGGTGCATCCGTCAATTATTTGTAATTTGCTCTTTTCATAAGCAGTCTCATCGGGATTTCTTTCAAAATTATTATTCTCTCATCATCAATCTGAAAGTTTTTCTGATGGTGCCTCTGTACTACTCTGTCTTTAAATCTCTTTGAATAAAAAAACACCAATCACCCGACAGATTTTTTTACTTTAGCATATCTTGATTTTACACGAAAAAATTTATCCACTGCCACTTTAACAGTTTCTTCATCCATTTCAATCAAATTGGCAAGTTTTCATTATTTTTTTCACTTAATTCCACCGCCGTATCTTCTGGCAAATCTCAAACTAAGAATCAAATCTTTTAGATGTACTTGCAAAACTGTGATCTCATCCAGAGTCTGTTCATAAAGCAATTTTATTGCTTCAGTGTACTCCCCCATTCTTTCTTGCTCCCTCTTTGTTTCTCTTACCTCCCCTTGTACTTTCTTAGATGATTCCTCCAAGCTGGATGTATTCAGCTTTAAATCCTGTACTGTTTTCTCTAATTCTGAAGTTTTATGTGACAGTTCTGTAATTTCTGCTGATAGGTTTTGAAATGCATGCACATTAAAATCAGCCTTCTGTCCTAGTCTCTGTATACCCTCCCCCATCTCTTTTCTCATTTCTAATGAAATTCTTGTCCAATCAGACTTTTTGTCCCCTTCTACAATTGAACGTTTTCTCTGACTTGGAGTTGTGATGGGCCTGGAGGTGGTTTCTGGCCGACGTTAGCATAGCCATAGTATAATGTCACTATATGGTATCTTTCCTTTATTATAGGGAAATACTTAAAAAGGAAATAAAAAAGACCCTGCAATTATTTTTTTGGCCACACTGTGTCATTATATCACTATATTTCCACCCTTTGTCCCCAGTTAGTATCTAACCCCATCAGATCCCAATAATAAATTGTAAAAAGGTGCAGAGCAAATAAAAATAAAAATTAATTCTTAGGTTATGTATTACAAAAAAATAAAAAAGAGCAAGATAAAAAAAATCAGCAATCTACAAAGTAACTCAGATTAAATTCAGTCTCAAAGTGTCCCTCTCCTTTAGGTTATCAAAAGGAGGCAAAGGAAATAAAAATATATACAAAATATGCATTTTTAAAAGAAAAAAATGGAAAAGAAATGAAAACACAAAGTCCCACTTTCCTTTCTTCCCCTCCACAACATTTAAAGATCTTTGTGATTTGACCCGCTTCCTGGAAGATATTTATTAAGTCACAAAAATTCTGCATCCAGGGCTTTAGACAAATCACAAGCCAAGCATAATTCTTCGGCTGCAATGCTTGTAAAAATAATCACTAGCCTGTACTTCTTATTCTCATTCTTAATTCAGTCCCTGCATATTTTTTACATGCAGATCAACAACCGCATCCGGGGAGGGACCTCTTCTTTGCCATCCTAGGCTGGATCCAATGGTTTTATTGACACTACCTTAAATTCTTTTTCTTGCCTTGTCGAATTGGTCTGAATTCCTTTGTTTGGAAATGTCGCTGCTTCAATGGAGGCACAAGAGGCAGCTTGCTGTGGGTCTTTGATTGTGCCATGTGTTTGAGCTCAATCTGGGATCTTTCTCAGCTCCCTATGGAGCTTTGGGAGAATCTAGAGAGCATATTTTGACACCACTGGACCCTTCAGAAACTGAACTTTTCGTTCAGGCTTTTTTTGAGAAGGTGCTTTGCCTTATCCCCATTCTTTGATCCTCACAGAAATCAGGCTGCTCAGAGCAAGCAGTCTCTGTCATCCACCATTATCTGTATCCAACAGGAAGTGCTGGAGGAAAATTTCTGATGAATAGCAAATAAAAATGCTAGCAGAATTAAAGTAAATTCAGCAGTATATAATTAAGTTGGGAGAAAGTGAGAAAGAATTACATGGAGTAAGTTATACTTAAATGGAGTAACTTATGTGGAGTAATTAGAATTTGCAGTAGCAGGAGGATAATAATTAGAAGGAACCATGGAAGGGGGGAAAGGGTGTTTATGAATAAATGTATTTGGCTGTTTTCTTTTTGTAAATGTGGAAATTTGTAAAAGTGTGGCATTGGACAGGAAGGAGCAGGCAGAGCAAAGAAAGTGATATTCGCCCTCGCTTGTTCCAGCCCCATCCGGCTCCCAGGATACCAGGCAGAGGCTGGGAGGAGTGAAGGCAAAGATCACCCTCACTACTCCCAGGCCCCTCTCGACTCCTGGGATGGAGTTTGGGAGGAGAGAAGGTGAAGATCCCCTCGCTTGTCCCAACGCCCTCCTGGCTCCTTGTCTCCCAGGCAGGGGTGGGGGCACACATAGGGTGCCCAGTGATGGTTGGGGATGTTAGCCCCTCAATATTGCAGGGCCTGAGATCCTTGCCTCAACATATTTACATGGCTGAAGCCCCATGCACCTCCTATACCCAACGCCCTGGACAAGATACTCCCTCTGTACACATAATTCCACATACAGAAGCTTTACTGGGCTGGCCATGGGCTCTGTTTTGATGCTGCTGATGGGGCAGCAGGCTAACTGAGGAGGTGCAGTGTGGCTTGTGTGATCTACACATCTCTACCCACCCCAGCACCTGCTACCTGAGTCAACTGCCTCATTCTGCCTAATGGTAGAGCCATTCCGGACTGCATACAGTAAAGGAACACAACAGCCAGCAGCCAAGAGTGGGCTGAATCCTGGGGTTTTTATGGGACTTACTGGATCTCTGGCACCCAAGTGGCTGCGTAGGCTTCTCTCCACACTCTTCCCTGGCACAACATGTCTGGTTCCACTTTCTACCTGTCTCCCCACCAACTTCCCTTTCCCATGCATTCCTCTACTTTAAGAGAAACCTCATCCCATATGACTGTGCTGTATACAGACCACCAGTTCCTGGTTGTTCTGCTCCTCCTGGAGCTGCAGGCTTTGCGGGCGCTGCAGGCTTTGCGGGCGCTGCAGGCTTTGCGGGAGCTGCAGGCTTTGCGGGCGCTGGATTCCCCATCCTCTCAGTCTTGTCTGTGAAACAACAAGCTAGAATGAGACAACAACAAATGGAGAATAAGGCTATGAGCACATTAGGTATAGAGCGGCAACTCTCAGTATTAGACAAACCAACAAAAAGATGTTGTTGAGTCCAATATAACTGAAACGTCTTTCTTTTTCTTATTCTGGCTAAATCTCAGTTTTAAACCAAAATAGATGTTCCATATGGATTCCAAGGCATTTTTAAAAATTGTTTTAGGTAATATAGCAGATTCTCATTTTGCATCCTATCCCTCTCCCTTAACTCCTGGACATCTAGCTTACAGGACTCCAGTAAGATGTTCCCCATTTAATAGATAGTGTGGGACCTATGAGGTCTTCAGATGTTCCTGGGTGTCAACTCCCTCCATCACAGGGCCACATCTTCCCCACCTTTAATGGAAGGTATATTCATTTAATTATATAACTACCTCCTGATCATCAGAAAAGATGGAGTACTAGATCTGGTCTCAGTTGGAGAAATCCAATTGACTTTGGAGACCATGTGTTGGTCCTGGAAAAGAAGTAGGGGGAAGCTGTCTTCCAGGCTCTCCAAGTGTGCCATTTTTTTTTTATTTTTTTTTGCAAAGTCCCAGCCTAACATCTGATGCCGTGGCTTAAAGAAAGAAGAGGACTGTTGTCTAATCCCGTTTCAAAGCAATCTGAACTAGCAGCCCTTGATATGCTAGTAAATGGGTTTTTCCAAAGAATTGTATTTTCTGGATCATAATCTGGATCAGGATTTACAACCTGGAACCATGAATCTTAGCAGGGCACCTGTACACAGCCCTAGAATATACCACCACTCACTTTCATTGGGTGACCTGAATTCTAGTATTTAAAAGAGAAAAACCATCTGTAGTTTATAAAAGCTCCCTATCATTTTCCCTCTTGGTGACCTTTCAGTCCTGGAATGAGTCCCTGCAAATATCATAGCTTGTAAGGAAAGTGTTACACCCATCAGGCTTATTTCTGTTTGGATACCCTGGTGTTGCCATGGAACAATCTTTTCTTTAATTTCTTCTTAAGGTTGTTTCATCCTCCCACTGGCTAAGAACCACCTCCCTTGTGATGTCAGGCATTCCAAAACTCCTCCCATTTAGGCTATACCATTTCCTGATTGGCTGCTCATCATATCCAATCAGCATGCCACATAAAGCATAAGCCCAGGAAAATGTTTATTTCAGATCTGTTATACTATATTTATATATTTTCAAAAGTTACTGCAATTTTTATTTTTGAACGATTACAAACATATATTTTATTCAGTCTCTAAGAGATGCAGTTTTGCATGCGCAGCTTTCAAAGTTCTCAGAGATTTGGGCTGTTTCTGTCCTTTGGTATATCAGCTCAAGGTTTTTAATTTCTGCAGTGAGAATCTTAGTCTTCTATTCATGCATTTGTCACACCTATGCAGTGCCCTCTTCATTGCATTCAACAATATAAGGGTGCCTATGTCTGGCAAGTCATTTTTCTTTAAAGTAAAAGTTCAAAGCTTTCGTTAACCATTCTTTAGAGACTGCATCAGTGAGATGACCAGTGTTAAAGTACCAGTTCCAGGTCCTGGGGGGGAGTGTGTGAAAATTTAAGTTATGGAGACTGGTGAATGATCAGAGACCATTATAGACCCAATTTCTGCACCCACCACCTGCCCTTTGGTATTAATATTAGGTCTATACGGCCTCGGTCCTGTATACCTGAAGGAGTGTCTCCACCCCCATCGTTCAGCCCCGACACTGAGATCCAGCGCCGAGGGCCTTCTGGCAGTCCCCTCATTGCGAGAAGTGAGGTTACAGGGAACCAGACAGAGGGCCTTCTCGGTAGTGGCGCCCTCCCTGTGGAACGCCCTCCCATCAGATGTCAAAGAGATAAACAACTACCAAACTTTTAGAAGATATCTGAAGGCAGCCCTGTTTAGGGAAGCTTTTAATGTTTAATAGGTTATTGTATTTTAGTGTTTTGTTGGAAGCTGCCCAGAGTGGCTGGGGAAAGCCAGCCAGATGGGCGGGGTATAAATAAATTATGATGATGATGATGATGATGATGTCTATGCATTACATTGATTTACGGAAGAAACACGAGAATTCCGTGCCTTCTGGATGCAGTGCCAACCAAGTGTCCACCAGATTTTGTTCACAGATCGGTGCCCACTTTGGTCGATTGTTTCATCGCTGCTGCAACTGAATCGCTCCTTTAAAATGGTCTAATTCTGCTAGCGTCTTCCAGGGAAAGTCCTGTGCTGAACCTTGTCATGTTAACTTTGCCATCTCAGTGAATTCCAATAATTTTATTACCCATTCCTCCACAGTAAGTAGGGTTCTATATTTTAATCTTTCTACAAGCAACAATCTCGCTGCTGTAACCATATATTGGAATAATCCTCCAAAATCCTTTCCCAATTGGATATCCAGTAACCCTAAAAGAATAGGTTCTGGGTTCAACAGGATATTAACCTTTAAAATCTGCTGTGTCAATGTATGTAATTGTATGCAAATTTTTTTGGCCTTTTTACATGTCCGACAAGCATAATAAAATGTCCTTTCATGTTCTTCACACTTCCAGCAAACATTTGAAATACCCTTATACATTCCATTTACAGGTTCTCAAGAGTTAAGTACCAACAATACATCATTTTATAAAAGTTCTCTTTAAGATCATAACAGAATATGAATTTTAACCCTTTTGTCCACATATACCCCACTGTTCCACCTGTATATTATAACCATTTTTGCCCATTTAATCATGCTTTCTTTAACTTCTTCTGTTTCAAATTTCAACAAAAGTTTATACATTTCCACAATAACATGTTCATCATCTGCGCACAACTGAATTTCAAAGTCCATTCACCTTGCTCTTTACCGAAAGTCTTTTAATCCTATTTAAACCTTGATGTTAATTGTATATAAGAAAACCACTGAAAATTTCAACTTTCCACTATTAGTTGTTCTCTTGTTTTAATTTTATAGGCTCCTTGATGCAATTAATGATTATTGGTATGTTGTCCATTTCTCTTTGCCTGTCATCTCTTTTCTGGAGAAAGTTTCTTGTGATGAAATCCATAAAGGTGTCTTTTAGCACAACCTAGGTTTATATTTATTCCAAATTTTTAATATGGCATGTTTAATAAAGTGATCTCTACTGTCAATTTGAAATCCAGTTGGTTCTCCAACAAGGCCTTTTGATATTCTGTCCTTAGGTTCTTTATTAACATCTTCATTTTCTGATGATTAACCTTAAAACCCACTAGCATGCCAAATTCATTTAGCTTATCCACAGAGTCTCCGCTCACTGTAATGGGTTTTCCAGAACTATCATCAGATCATCAGCAAAGAAAGGACTGTAACTTGTAATTTTCTTTTAAAATCTTTATCCCCATAATTCTCTCACCTTGGCGAATATCTCTAAGCAAAGCTTCCAAAACCAAAATGAAAAATCACGGAGACAATGGACATCCTTGTCTTAACCCTTCTGTATCTCAGAGTTTAGCCAGTTGTCCATTAACAATTATATGAGCTGTCTGTGATTAATAAATTGATCCTACCCATTTAATAAAATTATCTTCAAAGTTCATTTTTTGCAAAACTCTAATCAGAAATACGCAATTCACTTTGCTGAAAGCTTTTTCTGCATCCCAAACAATCCACACAGCTTGCTTTGTTAAGAAAACATTCTTAAAGAAACAGAAAAAAGTTCCTGGAAGCTTTAAAGAGGGTTCCAGAATTTTTCTTTAGTGTGGTACTCTAGGCTTGATTGGTGTCAGCTGGAGGTGCAAATAAAGGGAGGAAGTTGCAGGCTGCAATTTCTGCATGACAAAAGCACACACACACACATGCTGTCACCATGCATGCTCATAACAAGGTTGGCAGTAATACAATGTGTGCTGCTGATACTATGAGTTTTGCTGTGTCAGGATTGTTATTTATTGGACAGAGATTATACCGTGCTGGAGAGATAAAGAAGGAATGTAAACAGCTTGTATATAATAGTAATAGAAATGCTTGTGCAACCAGTCAAGCAATATAGAAGTTCTTGACTGTGAATTTGAGTATGACTCTTGTTCTTTTCCTCTGCCTCCGGGGAAAACTCTGCTACAAACAGTAAGAAATGGTTTTACTGAGGTGCCACCACACAAGCAGAAAAGCGCAGCAGAAGTGCGTGGGTTGTAACCTCTAATATGCTTCTCACTGTTACAATTCAAATATACGTTTCTGACATTATCTCTTAATGGTCTTTTTGGTAAAAATCATTTGTCATTCATAAGGTCTTGTAATTAAAAAAAATCTTTATGACAAAAAGATTGCAAATAACTTATAATCATTATTCAATAATAAAATCAGTCAATATTTTTTTTACTAAATTTGTCCCTTCTTAAGTACTGTATAAGTGTAAGTTGGCCTCTTTTCAGCTATCTGTAGAATATAGTTCACTGTCCATTGTAAGGGTTGTGGACTCTTCTTCATTGGAGATTTTTAAGCCGATGTTGGATGGCCATCTGACATGGACACTTTATCTGAGATTCCTGCATTGCAGGGGGTTGGACTAGATGACCCTGGGAGTCCTTTCCAACTATACAAATCTGTGATTCTAAAAGGCTATGCAGTAAGGCCAGCTGGAAATATACAGTGAAGTCTGGTGCATGCATTCTCAACCCTATAATGCTCAGTGGAGATTACTCTTTAAACTGAATGAATGGTGGACTATAGGTAGGGATTAGGAATGGTTAAATTGTAGGTGACTTTAAACTTACATGCTGCAACCCTCCAATGCGTGTAATAACCACTTTACCTAATACTTTAGTACAAACTGTTTCACACTTATTTTCCTCTTGCATGCACTGTGTTAAAGGCCTTCTGCAAACACGACTAAGTAGTCTAGTTGCCGAGGCTTTTGATCTTCTAAATATTTTCTAAGGGTTCGCACCCTAACTTCGTTGAAGGATCCCTGAGGTGGACACTGTGTTCTGGGTTCCAGGTGATGGATATAAGCCACACATGGGCCCTCACAGAGGTATTTCAGCTTTTACTTTGATAGGTTTTCACATCCTGTCAATCCCCTCCAGTTGGATAACACAAGCTGGAGGAGGGAATCAGGGTCCTCTTGGTTGTGGGAAGGCTTGCCAGAAGAATTCCTGCCAAGGGGAGTCCATCTGCTATGTCTGGAAGAATGGCTACCCATCAATTTAAGAAGCATAAATAGAGTGTCTTCTAGCCTCATCTGCACACAATAACATGCACAAACAAACAAACAAATAAAAAGAAAAAAATGCTATTAAACAATTTGCTTTCTCCAGGCCTCTCGCCCGTATCCTTCTGTAGATCTCTTGCCCACGCCTTCCTATCTAAGCAACCTGCATTCCCATGGGCTTCCCACCCACAAATTCCACAAGCTTCCTGCCCGCAAACACAACTGAAAGCCTCCCACTCACCCAGCATCATTCATTAACCAGTTTTCCATCCTAACTGACTCCTGGTGTGGTGCTCCATCTTCTGTCAGTGGACCTCCCACCCTACTACCCACAGCAACCTCCTGCCTGGCACCATAATCTAGTGAAAAGTCTCCTTACTGAATGCCTGCACAGCTCAGTGCCAGATCAGGTCACGCAAGATAGCTGTTTGTAAAGGAACAAGTTTCTTTGCTTTCTGACATACCCGGGTATCTCCCCAACAGGGGATCGCTGAGCAGCAGGGGCAGCTAAACTTGATCAGATAAAAAGGGAAGATGAAGAAGAAACTTACTCCCTTGCATCTGAAGCATCCCACTTCAGGGCAGCTGAGTAAGAGAATGAACAGAGATAGAGTTCAGAACCCCTCCCTGGTTGAACACCCCATAACCCTCTTTGGTCAAAGCCTCCCTTTCCGAGCAATCAGGTTTGTAAACAGAACCCCAGTGTCGGGTAGAGTCAGGTAAAGGAGAGGAAAGAAATAATTTTGGTTGCTGTAGTGACTCACTACCTTCAACCTTCTTGTCAGTGTACTGCTTTTAACCATACTCACGTCATCCTGTGGATCCTGGGATCCTCTGTTGACCAGTCGTATCTTGCCTTTGCTCCCTTGGCTGGGTCTTCCGGGTGACAGTTGATTACCGCCCATGAAGAAAAGGGACAGCAAAGGAAAAATCTCTGGGCTAAAGGTTGCCCAGTGGCACTGGATCTCTCAGGATCCTCCTTTACCCTCACAGGAGAACCAAGTGTGGCATTCGTACGGAGCCCCCGGTCGTCTCAATGACTATTGACCCGTACACCACTAAGGTGTTGATGTTAAATGCTTAATACCACACACCTCCCATAGTCTTTTCATTAGTCTTGATGTGAAAGAAGAACCCAAGTCGGTGACTATTTCACTGGCAAAGCCCAATCTACTCATATAGTTAATTAAAGCAGTTGCCACAGTTTCCGTTTCAATGTTTTGCAACGGAATGGCTTCTGGATATTTGGTTGCGTAATCCACTATGGTGAGGATGTATCTGTTTCCCCGCCTGCTGGCTCTAGGCAATGGCCCTATCAGGTCCAGCCCTAATCGTTGAAAAGGGGTTGATATGATAGGCAAGGGGCACAATTTGGCTTTTGTTTTGCCTCTTCTCTGACATATGTCACAGGCTTGACAGTATTGTTTTATTTGTTTCCCCATGCCTGGCCAATAAAAATTTTGAGCCACTCTCCGTTTTGTGCGTATAATACCCATATGCGCTCCAAATACACTATTGGGGGCGTGTTGCAGGATTTTGCCTCGGTATTCATGTGGGATTACTAACTGTCTTCTCACTTCTTCACCCCCCCCCCCACATGGTGGGACAAGGACTTCTCGATATAAAAGGTCCCTGCTCAAACAAAACCGTTCTGGGCACTCTGGAGTTAATGGCCTCTCCGACTCGGCTGCCTCAAAGTACCTTTGTAACTCAATATCTTCTTTTTGCTTTTTGGCAAAACTTGGGGTTTGAGTTTCAGTCAAAGGAAACAAAAAGGTGTTTTTTCTTTCCTCATACTGATCATCCCCTTGCTGTCCTTCAGCATTGTCTGCCTCTGCTACTGTATCCACCCCCTCAGGATTAGGTGACTGTGGGCTCCCTTTTGCTCTGGTAACTATGAAAGTACTCTGCACATGTTCTAAAATGTCCCAACCAATGAGCACAGGGGCGGGAATTTCTTCCGAAAGGGCTACCTGCCACTTCCCTGCCCAGATTTTGAACCTGACATCTATTTCCGCCACCTTCAGGATCTCTGCTTGTTTCAAAATTCCTTTTAATTTCATTACTTTTCCTGGAATTATGGCCTCATCCTTGATTATCTCTGGGTGGACTATAGTGACTTGTGATCCCGTGTCCTTTAACCTGAGAGATCTTTTTCCGTCTATCCAGATATACTCTCCAGCGTTCTTCAACAAGAGATTATCTTGTTGAATCGCAAAACAGTGCGGGACTTTGGCCTCTACTACCTCAGCAGGCTCGGGCCTAGTTGGCATGTCTGTTTCCTTGACAACCTGACTAGTTGGGCCCTGCTCCACAGGCTGCATACAATATGTCCGTTTCTGTGTGGTGCTATAACTAGATGTTTCTTTTCCTAGTTTACAATCAAACCTTTTATGACCTAATTTTCCACATCTCCAGCATGAAATGTCTTTGGGTCCTGAATAACTTGTTTTATTGACTTTTCCCTCAGTAAATTCTGTATGGGTGTGTGCCTTCTCATGTGGGCTTTTTGATGAGGGGCTGCTTCTCTTATCGGTTTCTGAGGTAATCTTTCCTTTGGTTTGCTGAAATTTATTCTTGTTTGTTTCCCAATATCTCCCACCAAATTTTGGCCCATCAAATCCATGGACTCTGATTTCATTTATTTTATCAGCTAAACCAGCTGCTTCCTCTATTGTCTTGGGGTTCCTTTCTTTTTTCAGGTACTTCAATTGGCCATTTATTGTGTCGTAAAATTGCTCCAATGCTATCACTTCTCTAATCTTGGGTACCGTGTCTGCATTCTCTTGCTCTAACCATCTCGTGAGGTAAGTTTTTATCTTTGCACCCAGCTGCGCATAGGTTTCCTCCCTCACCTTTGTCACACTTCTAAATTTTTTTCTCAACTGCTCTGAGGTAATCCCAAAGTGGGTGTATATTAACTGCTTGTACACCTCAAAATTTCAGGATTGTTCCTCAGTCATTTGAGCATATATTTCGGCTAGAGGACCGCTTATCCTAGCTCTCAAGATCATCATTTTATCTTCCTCTCTCACTTGAAAATCATGACAGGCTCTCTCGAAGGATACTAGATATGCTTCTCGGCTATCCTTATCTCTAAACTCAGGAAAGCGTTTTAAATCTATCTTCATTTGATTCTGCCCATCAGTGTTATTACTATTATTACGATTTTCTAAAACCTTTAATTCCAACCGTCTCATCTCCAACTGAAACCGCTGCTGTTCCCTTTCCTGCTCCGCCCTCACCTTTTCTTTTTCCAATTCTTGCTCAAGCCTAAATTGTTCAGTTTCTTGTTAAAGCCTAAATTTTTCTTGTTCAGTTCTATTTTTCTCAAACTCTAATTTCAAGTTATATTTTTGTACTAATTTCCCCTTTTCAGAATCCCCTGAGAACTTTGGAACCTCTACTTCAGGTGGGGTTTTAGTCATTTCTTCTATTCTCGTTTCCTCCCCCTGGGGATTCCCATTCTCTTCTCCAGAGCTTTCATGTGGGTTTTCCCTCACTGGGTGCTTGGTCTTCTAGGGTGGCATTATGGGTGAGTCAGTATTTTGCACTAATTAAATAAGAGACTTTTACTCTCAACACTGTTCCTCCCGGCTTGGCGTTTCAAGACCCTGGTCCCCAAAGTATAGCTTTAGGTTTTTCCCCTCTAACCTTTCAAGCTTACTTCCTCTGACCCTGAGCCTAAGCCTCCGCCAGAACAGTCTTTTGAGATCTCTTGCTCTTATTGTTATCTCGGCCACACGACAATCTGGGGTTTATCCTCAATCACACCCTCGGGCCAGGTAATCTCTTCACCGATTTACCCTTCCCCTCTGCAAGTGTATTGCTTCCCCTCACAGGCTCTTAGACTTATCAAATCCCGCCACTGCTGCCAATTTTGTGGCGTTCGTATGGAGCCCCCGGTCGTCTCATGGACTATTGGCCCGTACACCACTAATCCGCTGCCACCAACCAGGTCCTCCCTGGTAGAATCACTTCAGTCTCAGTCAGCTTCTCAATTAATAAAGAAAAGTGTATATTATTTCAGACACAAACAAAACTTTTACAGCATTCCAAATGTTGTTGCTCTTTACTTTCTTAGTCTTATTTTCCTCTCTCTATCTCTTCTACCTCCCCACACTCAAGAACCCACAGCCCTAACTATCTCTCTATTACCAACTGCCTTTCCCAACCAGCCAACCCACAAAAACCCACCAACAACTCCCAACCAACTCCTCCCAGAACTGGTTTTATAAACTCCCTGACTCCACCCCCCTGGGTCCTGTCTGTGCAACCTATTTAACTGTTTACCCTCCAGCACTCTCTCATATATGTTAACGTCACACCAAGGTCCCTTATGTCATGAGTACTAAGCAGCTGCGAACAAGCTCGATGTTTACATCCAATGATGGGTCTAAGCGTGGGACAGGAAGTTCCAATCTGTTCTCAGAGTTGTGTTCTCAGTGTAACATGAAACCTTCCTGTTGCTTGTGTCCGGGAGGTGTGAGTCAGTTGCTTGGAGGATTCTGAGAGAGAAGTCATGCTTTTGTACAGTGTACAGTTCGGGAATAAAAGTAGAATCAAATAGACTACTTTTCCAGACTGTTTTCTTTCTCCTGCTGCTATGCAAGGGGGAAGGGAGTGTGCACCTTTCAGGAGGGAGGTGTCGCTTATCCAAGACCTCCCTGGTCTGTCCGGATGCCAGCCGGGGTAGGTCACCGGCAACAGGCCCCAAGAGCCTGGGAAGAGGAGCCAGCCTTTCCCGAGGGGGCCAGTTTCCAACACCTTAGTGGTTGCCAAAATGTTAAAGGAAAAATTCGTGGCTCACTTGGATTGTCAAACAATGATGCTAGCCAAGATTATAGGAGCAAAACAGCAGTCAGTAGGCCTGATCTTTACTGTTGCAACAAGACTTCAAACTACCACTCGGAAGAAGCACAAAGAAGCCCTGAAGAAAGGAAGGCTATCTTTTTTTATAAGTTTCCCATATTACCCATAACACCCTTAGCAAAACATCATACATTTGTCATAACTATGTCACAAATTAAGAGGGGTCTTCTGGCAGAAACCTGAGTATCAGGCTTGCCCCGTCCCTCCTTTGACCTCCACCCCACACTCGTTAGGTAAAACAAAGGTAAGTATTTATATGTTTCTGTTTCCCAGACAAGTTAAGCACACCCCTTTGTCTTGACCAAGACCCCAATCCATTGAGGTTGGGTTTGCTATTGTCTTTGGGATTACTACCTGCCTGGCACTCAGCTGCCAGGCTGCCAGAGATTATCACCCATGAAAGTGAGGCTGCTGTGTACGTGGTCTCATGCTTCAGGGATTATGGCTGTCCGTGCCCATCTCCCAAGCTCCTCTTCTGGTAGCCATAATCCTTCTTATCAGAACACCATTGGAACAGAGCAAATCCATCAATGGGGTGATTTTATATGAATTTTTAAAGGTTTTCTCTACAGAGGGAAGCTTATAATGTTTAATAGGTTATTGTATTTTACTGTTTCGTTGGAAGCCGCCCAGAGTGGCTGGGGAAACCCAGCCAGATGGGCGGAGTATAAATAATAAATTAATAATTAAAAGAGGAACCTAAATTCCACAAGTGGATAATATGTAGCCTTCAGATTTGATACAATGTAACAAAAGTGGTTTTGATAACTTGTTTTCACTTTCCTTATTCCAGGTGGGGTTTCCATTTACTTGAACTGAACTGAGGATGGTTTGATAGCTGAAGTACAGCTGCAGTACCTGTGTAGTCCTTGTCAGGGAGCACTGCTCTGTAACTCCAATTGGATGGGATTTCAGTAGCTGTCAACATAAGAGGACTTGATTATAACAATAATAATAATTTATTATTTGTACCCCGCCCATCTGGCTGGGTTTCCCCAGCCACTCTGGGCGGCTTCCATAGAAACCAAAAATACACTAAAATATCATACATTAAAAACTTCCCTGAACAGGGCTGCCTTCAGATGTCTTCTAAAAGTCAGAGAGTTATTTATTTCCTTGACATCTGATGGGAGGGCGTTCCACAGGGCGGGCGCCACTACCGAGAAGGCCCGCTGCCTGGTCCCCTGTAGCTTTGCTTCTCGCAATGAGGGAACCGCCAGAAGGCCCTCGGCGCTGGACCTCAGCGTCCGGGCAGAATGATGGGGGTGGAGACGCTCCTTCAGGTATACTGGGCCGAGGCCATTTAGGGCTTTAAAGGTCAGCACCAACACTTTGAATTGTGCTCGGAAACGTACTGGGAGCCAATGTAGGTCTTTCAAGACTGGTGTTATGTGGTCTCGGCGGCCGCCCCCAGTCACCAGTCTAGCTGCCGCATTCTGGATTAGTTGTAGTTTCCGAGTCACTTTCAAAGGTAGCCCCACGTAGAGCGCATTGCAGTAGTCCAAGCGGGAGATAACTAGAGCATGCACCACTCTGGCGAGACAGTCCGCGGGCAGGTAGGGTCTCAGCCTGCGTACCAGGTGGAGTTGGTAGACAGCTGCCCTGGATACAGAATTGACCTGCGCCTCCATGGACAGCTGTGAGTCCAAAATGACTCCCAGGCTGCGCACCTGGTCCTTCAGGGGCACAGTTACCCTATTCAGGACCAGGGAGTCCTCCACACCAGCCCGGCCCCTGTCCCCCAAAAACAGTACTTCTGTCTTGTCAGGATTCAACTTCAATCCATTAGCCGCCATCCATCCTCCAACCGCCTCCAGGCACTCACACAGGACCTTCACTGCCTTCACTGGTTCTGATTTGAAAGAGAGGTAGAGCTGGGTATCATCTGCATATTGATGGACACCCAGTCCAAACCCCCTGATGATCTCTCCCAGCGGCTTCATATAGATGTTAAAAAGCATGGGGGAGAGGACAGAACCCTGAGGCACCCCACAAGTGAGGGCCCAGGGGTCTGAACACTCATCCCCCACCACCACTTTCTGAACACGGCCCAGGAGGAAGGAGCGAAACCACTGTATAACAGTGCCCCCAGCTCCCAGCCCCTCTAGATGGTCCAGAAGGATGTTATGGTCGATTGTATCAAAGGCCGCTGAGAGATCCAGCAGAACTAGGAAACAACTCTCACCTTTGTCCCTAGCTCGCCGGAGATCATCAACCAGCGCGACCAAGGCAGTTTCAGTCCCATGATGAGGCCTGAATCCTGATTGGAAGGGATCCAAATGGTCCGCATCCTCCAGGCGTGCCTGGAGTTGTTCAGCAACCACGCGCTCAATCACCTTGCCCAAGAATGGAAGATTTGAGACTGGGCGATAGTTGGCCATACTGGCCGGGTCTAAAGATGGTTTTTAAGAAGCGGTTTAATGACCGCCTCTTTCAGCGGATCTGGGAATGTTCCCTCACAGAGGGAAGCATTCACCACCCCGCAGAGCCCATCGCCCAGCCCTTCCCGGCTTGCTTTTATTAGCCAGGATGGGCAAGGATCAAGGAGACAGGTGGTTGGTTTCACGCGTCCAAGCAGCCTGTCCACATCCTCGGGGGTAACGGATTGAAATTGATTCCATGCAACTTGACCAGACAGAGCTCTAGCACTCTCCCGCCCCAGCCCTGCTCCCACGGTGGTGTCTAGCTCCTTCCGAATATGAGTGATTTTATTTGCAAAAAACTTTGCAAAATCGTTGCAGGAGATCTTGGGGTCTTTACAAGGCCCCGGTGGTAAAGGTGGTTCCGTTAAATTGCGAACCACCTGAAAGAGTCTCCTGC